TTTCACTTTAGATTTTTTTTTTTTTTTACTTTTCATTTTTCAAATGATGGTGCATAACGACTCAACTGAGGGTGCAATGCACCCTTATGCACCCCCATAGAACCGGGCCTGCTTACGGGTCATTTGAGTGTGTTAGATAGTGTTTTAAATAGCGCCTACTTAAAGAGCTGTACAACCATCCACCCGTCATTACACTGGGCGGAGCTTTGACGCCCTCTGGTGTTGTAAAACAGGAAGTCCGGATCGCTTGGTAGATCCGGTCTTCCTCAGCCAACCAGGAAAGAGGGCTTGTCGGGATCTGGACTGAGGCGGATGAGACCAGAAACCTTTGTTCTGTCTCCACTCGCTCCTCGCCGTTAAACAGCAGCCTGTCAATGCTTCCCGACAAACTGCTCGCGGTTCTGTGAGTGGGATACCTCTGAAGGATGCTCTCTGAATGAGACATCAGCAGCTACTATTGATTCGGTTTTTCATATTTTTCCTGCTCGCTACAGCCCGAGGGGGACGTCTGCTCGTGTTGTTCCTGTCAGCTGCTAAATGGAAATAAAACGGGGATCTGATCGAGGTGCGTGCAATGAAAACCCGCGTTGTAGTGATCTCTGTGATCAGTGAGTTTACTCTGACTTCAAAATAATTCTGTATACACACTGTAGGGTTTTTATGCATGCTAACCTGATCCACGGTGAACTGTAGCGGTCTGTGCTGTCTCATGTGCATCCCGCCACCAGGGACCGAGCTCCTGTAGTTAGCCTAGTCCTGGTCGGGGTTGTAGTTCTTCTGAGCTTCCTTCATCAGAAATGCAATGGCTGCTCGGCGGATGTGAGTTTGTTTACAGCCTGATGGATGCTGTTGTCACGGCACCTGGGGGCACCTCTGTCCTGTCAGTGTTTCAGCTGACACTTTGCAAATATAAATCAAATTCACTCATGCAAAGAGTGCTCTCTGCCAGCATGCACAGTGTCAGGTGTTGTTGGCACAGTTTGCTGATGAATTATAGGCAAAGTTGTGAGTAAACTGCCCCTTGTTTAAACAACAACAATGAGCTTAAAAGATTGAAAACTGCCTCTACCTGTGTCTTGCCAAATATAAGAGTTTGTTTCCTTTTCCCATGCAACATAATCATAGCCAACCTCTGAACATGTGTTGATGTTAGAGAACCTACATTATGTAGCCGTCATCCTTTTTAAATTGTAGTTTACTTGATCAAAGCTCAATAATTCTCTTCCACTAGCAGGAGTGGTCATTCTAGATTCT